GGAGCCACCAGTAAAGTGTGGGACAGCACTTCCAAGAGGACCAGCGGGCCAGAAGTGGTAATGTTTAAAGTGGAAGCCAGGAGTCTAAACTTGTGTTGTTTTGAAGTATTGCATGGATGTTATGCTGAACAACCCCTGCAAGGGTAGCCAAGGTGGATGTATGAACTTTCGTTTGAATAAAAGTGGGCTACCCAGTCCCTTAAACAGAAGATATTGCGAGAGGACTGCACCCTTAAAGCGCTCACCTTATGTGCTGATATCCCTAAACATCACGATAAATATATATCTATCTATATATCTATATATCTATATACAGTATACACACACACACACAGATACATACAATAAGGAGCTACAGGGTTTACAGCAGATGTAGTGAATAACAAACTTTGTATCAGCTGTTCACAGGCCTTTGATGCTCAGAGCTATCTCTGCTGTGGGAGCTTGCTGCTGTGTGACCAAACACTAAAACAGGTACAAGTGCTGTCTGTTTGTGTTGGGGAACCCATTAGGGGGCACCCTGTTAGTCAGGAATTAAGTTCAGTTAGTGGCTCGGAAAAGCAGATGTTTTGTTTGTTTTATGCTACGGACTTGCTGTACAAAGCCCTCCTGCACTGTAACTATGTTTGCTGCCTTGCTCAATTAAATGCAGGACAAACCTGCTTGGACTGTTTGCATGTCCTTGTCTCATGCATGGTTTATCACCAGTTGAGCCTGCCTCACTTACAACTTTGTGTTTAGATGCAGGCAGCGCCTAAAAGAGCCAGACTCCAATTGTTAAACAAAAATGAAGTGCTTGTAAAACAGCTCATATTGGCAAATACTAACCAGCAATACGTATACCACTTAACCGCCCTTCAGATGCAATAGCTGACTATAGTCCACCAGGCCTCCTTAGCGGGAGAGCAGCAAGTGAACTTCTCTCTACAGTAGCAGATACAGACCCTGCAAAAGGGTCAGATGTTAGCGAAGGATTAACATTTGAGTACTCCTGGTGATGCCTAAGACTACCTTACTGTGGTGGTTTCAGTGTAGACACCTAGTAGAACTGTAAAGCATGTCATGGGTGTGATTAAAAGCTTGCTACACACTCTAAAACTGGGATGTTATTTTTAATCTGTTTAAATCAATCAATTTGGCAAATGTATGAAAAAATGTAAAGGTGATAAATTGCATACCTCAACAACTAGAAATTAGCCTGCAATACCCCCTTTTTGCAGTATACTAGGACTTAATCAACTGTGTAAAAAAAGACCTGGTGCAAGTTGAGAAGCAGCTGGTGGTTCCCTAGTCTCACACATTGGCCATAAAGTGGGCACTAGAGTCATTAGGGCATTGCCTTTTGGGCAGATGACTCCGAATGATTACAGGTAGGGTTGCACCGATACCGTTTTTTTGGTATCGAGTACGAGTATTGTTTTTTTTTTTCGGTATTCGCCGATACCGGATACTGGCACCCTGAGGTACAGTGGGCCTGTCTAATCATGACTCACTGCCCGGCTTCTTGATTGCCTGGGAAGCCAGCGTTCTATCGAGCGAACACCGGCTTCACACTGCGAGGTAGCCCGGCTTCCTGATTGGTCAGGAAGCCAGGCTGCCTCGCAGTGTCGCTAGGCAGCGTGGACCCAGCTTCCCAGCCAATCAGGAAGCCGGGCCATGACTCGCTGCCCAGATTCCTGATTGGCCAGGAAGCCGGCTCCATGCTCCCTCGCAGCACTGCCGGTCAGAGGGAATCTCCTTCTGACCAAAAGTTCCAGTATCGGGGTAAGTATCAGAACATTTGGGCAAGTACGAATACTCACCCAAATAATCAGTACGGGCACAGATACCGATATCAGTGCATCCCTAATTACAGGTAATTCTCCTCTAAAGTGGATAGCTCAGACAAGTAGAACAATGCAAGGGTCACAAGATGGTTTCTGGCTCTGCAAAACTTTTAGAACAAAGGCCAGGGATCCAGCAAGGAAATGGTAAAGGAACTGTCCAGTGTGTGTTTGCAAAATGTGCTCCTTCCCACAGGTCTGAGAAGAGGGGGAAGGTATGTGAGGCACTGTATGGGAACTCGATCTGTGTGAAAGGGCTGAGTTCTGACAGGACAAAAAAAAAGGTTACCTGTTTGTGTTGAGGAGCCCATTAGGGGGCACCCTGGTAAACTGGCCATTCTTCCATTCATGCTAAATTCAGCTAATGAACAAATTTCCTGCTATAGCTATATTCTGACAGCGGGTGCCTGCTGCTGCCAGGATACATGAATGGTGACTGGAGCTGATTGGTTAAAGTCACTGTTTGGCTGAAAATGTTCAGCCCGGCTCCTCTGACAGAAGTTTATTCAGTAATTGACTTTTGCCAATCCAGCATGGCTACACACTACAAGAATTTTGTCTCGTATGGCCAGACAAGTCAGGAGTTGATCCGAGTTTAGTTAGTGGTTCAGATAAGCAGATATTTTGTTGCTATGGATTTGCTGTAAAAAAAACAAAACCAAACCTCCTGCTTTGAATCTGTGTTTGCTGTTTTGTTGAATAAATGTGCAGAACAAACGTGCAATGAGTGCAGCTGCAACCTCTGCTCTGCCAGCACCAGAAGCGCTCTCACTGCCTCCACCAGGGGCCACTGGACTGAAAGCCTTATGAACTGAAGGACTGCAAAGATCAAAAAAGACCAGTGGCATCAGAGATCAAAAGAGATTGGAGTGTTTGATCTAATGAAAAGTGTATTTCAGGAGAGGATCTCTAGCCTTGGGAAGGAGTGATACACTTGAATGTACAGTGCTGCGGAGGCGACATCAGAACACATTAAGACCTAACTTAACCTGAGGGTGAGTACGATTCATATAGGTGCTTTGAAGAATGGTATGTACAGAAGAACCATTTTGTTTTTCTCCATCTTTTGTTCTTATTGGTTCTCCTTGGAGTTCAAATCTGTGATTTGTACTGCACTGGCACATAGTGGACTGTGAGACTTCTGCTATTGACTTTCCTTGTATGCTAATTTTCAATAAAAGCTGCAATTTAAAGTCATTTTTGTTCAACTTAGGACAGTTTGCAAAACTACTGCACGTTGCATTACCTCCAACCACGTTTAACTGCCTCCCGGCCAGCCGTTGTACTTACACGGCCTGCCGGGACCTTCTTGGATGTAAGCGGGCGTGCTAGTACGTCCTGCCCCGCCCCCCGCTCAGGCGCGCGCCCCGCGCGCGCAAACAAATTCGAGGCTAACCCTCTTCTAGATTTCATAACTGGTAAATAATAGCGGGGCCCTCCTAACCATCTTGTTTTGAATTGTATTGTGATTGCAATGTCTTCCTTATATTTTAAAGCGCTGCACAAACTGTTGGCGCTATATAAATCCTGTATAATAACAATAATAATATTCCCTTTTTGTTACTATTACCATTAAGTTAAGTGCATTTGTCTATTTTGTCTATTGTTATACAGAGTTTCCACTCTGCCCTATCAAGAATGTTCAAATTTTTTTGTTGGCATGAAGAAAGCAGAAAGCTTGTCCTTGTGTGCTACAAATAACTTGAGGTGAATCCTCTATGACAGTTTGAAGAACTAAGGTTGAGAGAAATTTAGATGTCTCATCAAATGACACTCTGAAATTGCACAGAAAGCAAAATACAAAAAAAGAAAAACTGGAGTGAAAAGCCAAGGCCACCCAGTAAGTCACTACAACATGTGATAGGTCCCACATTGCACGTAATGGATACAAGTAACTAATACACACGATTAGTGTCGCATTTTATACAGTCATTTATATCATCTAAAATTTTGTGTCTTGCCTTTGGTTTCCTTTTGAACAAGATAAATAAGACTTGCATAGTTGTATGGTTAAAGAAGTTGAACAATAGACATAAAGCTCAGACTTTCACAAAGCCACCTGATTTTGGCCCAGAAAAAAAGCCATATAAAACCCCCTGGGTAACTCTTGTCCAATTTGCCTCATCTGGACACAGATCCTTCCTGATCGCCACAAAGAAAGCTAGACACTTTTTTTGGATCAAAATACTACCAGACTATCCTTTAATCTGCAGATATCTTTAGTTGCAAGACAATACATCAGTATTTTATATTTTTCTTACTAAGTCTTCCACTTTTGATTCTGAATTTCACTGACCACCAATATAAGGGGGATACTCCACTGATTACCAATGTAAGGAGGGGAGGAGGGCACTTCACTGACCACCAATGTAAGGGGATGCTTTTCCACTGACCACCAATGGAAGGGAACAATACATTTTCACTGAATGGGTATCTTTTCCGGCAATTATTATTACTACATGTTGCATTTCATTGTCATATAGGGCAACCCTGGGTATCAAATAGGCCAAGAATACCACAATTTTTTTTATTTATCATTATATATCATCTTACTGTTCACACTAATGTACTGTGAGTTATACCCTCAGGGGTTCTCTGAGATCTAAAAAAATTTTAAGGGTTCTTACTTGCTAAAAGTTTGAGAAAGGCTACTATTCTATAATATAAAATAAATCTTAACAAATCCACAAAGCAGAGTCAGAACCACTTACAATAGTCACAAAAGGTGTGCAGATCAAGGAACTGAAGTGCACATTTCTCTTCAAGAACCTTGAGAGATATACTGTAACAACCTGCAAGATCATTTTACACACCTGCATCTACCAAAAACTAAATATCAGTCTTCTGGGTTCTGTGCTGGGTCCCATATTGTTTAACTTATTTATTAATGACAAGAAGGGGTTCTTCACAGTGAGATCAGTTAGGGTCTGGAAGTCACTGCCACAGGCGGTGATTTCAGCAAATAATGTGGAATTGTTCAAGAAACTTTTGGACGATTTCTTAAGGGACCGTAATATACAGGGGTACGGGTACTCCTAGAATGAGATCCTAATAGGTTGGACTTGATGGACTGATGTCTTTATTCAACCTCAAATACTATGTAACTATGTAAGTTAGACTAAACCTTTAACATCTGCATATCCAAATGATAACTTACAATTTGTAATTCTTTCATACCTTTGTAGAATGCCATGCTGTAAGCTCTTGCATCTTGTTAAGGTTTCTCCTGTGAAGAGATGACACATGACTACGTCTCTGCATTTGTGGAGAAACGACATCAATGCTTCAGCCTGAATGTTTCCATTGCGAGAAATAATGCACAGACGTTGAAGCTGTGAGCAATGGCTAAGAGCTTGAAAGAACTTCTCATTAGCTGGAAAGTATGGTTGCTCTAGTCTGTAAAAATAACAGGGATATTAATTGTCAGCTTATAGTGAAGTAAACCTTCTTCTTAAACGTATAGTAAAGAAACCTTCTTAAAATATATGATATGTATGTAATCACTTCCAACACAAATCTAAAAAACATAGGATTTAATGCTCATTTTAGGATAGTTGTATGATCCTTGTAAATCATTGCTTTATGTTCCTTCAACCAACTACACATCCAGACCTACGGGTTTAAAGCAGAGTAACAGCCCATAGTACAGATTAAATATTACCAATCTTCTGAGGACAGAATTCATAACTGGAATATTAAAGGAGAACTATGAGGTGAGTGCTTTTCACTCACCTCATAGTTCTAGCCGACCTGTGACAATGAGACTGTCACAGGTCGGCTCAGTAGATCGGGAGGTGAGCGTACACATACCGGCGTTCGCTCACCTCTCGATCCTGTCACAGCTCTCTGCCGTGACAGGGGAGGGGCTGGATTCCCCCCTCCCCGATCCGCCAGCGGAACGGACGGGGGAGGGTACAGGTGGCTCTGCCTCTAGATAGGCAGAGCCAGCTGTCAGTCACGCAGCTGGGCGGATCAGGCACAATTGTCGGAATCCGCTTCAGCTGCGGCGTCTCAGTATACCGCGAGCAGCTGCTCGCGATATACTGCGGCATCTCAGTATACAGCTCGCTGCAGCTCGCGGTATACTGAGCCTAGGCTGACGGGAGGACGCTAGTTTGTGTCCTCCCGTTACCCTAAGGAGAACTATGGGGAAAAGGCTTAACCCCATAGTTCTCCTTTAAGGGAACATACAGTACATCAATCAGCCATAACATTATGACCACTGAGAGGTGAAGTGAAGAACATTGATTATCTTGTTACAATGGCACCTGGGAGTGGGTGGGATATATTATTAGGCAGCAAGCAAACATTTTTTCCCTGAAGTTGATGTATTGGAAGTAGAAAATAAAATGGGCAAGCACAAGGATTTGAGCGACTTTGACAAGGGCCAAATTGTCATGGCTAGACGACTCGGTCATAGCAACTCCAAAACAGCAGTTCTTGCGGGATGTTCCCGATCTGCAGTGGTCAGGACCTACCATAAGTGGTCCAAAGAAAGAAAACTAGTGAACCAGCAACAGGGTCATGGGCGGCCAAGGCTCAATGATGCACATCGGGAGCGAAGGCTGACCCGTGTAGTCCAATCCAATAAAAGAGCTGCTGTGGCTCAAATTGCTGAACAAATTAATGCTGGTTCCGATAGAAAGGTGCCTGAACGCACAGTGCCTTTGTAATATTCCCTTCGCATACCATACCGTTATACCCCAGAATCCAACAGGTGCTGAAACAACTGGTGGATGGCGCCATAGTATACATTCTAGAAGATATGTTGCCCGCACACCATTCTGCTTCGGAATATCATCTTTATTCATATTCCTTTAGCATGACATGTGAATGCAACGTTTCGGAGCCTCACAGGACCCCTTCTTCAGGCAAAGTGGTGAAGGGGTCCTGTGAGGCTCCGAAACGTTGCATTCACATGTCATGCTAAAGAAATATGAATAAAGATGATATTCTAAAGCAGAACGGTATGCGAACAATATATGTCCTAGATTGAACACACAGTGCATCGCAGTTTGTTGCGTAAAGGGCTGCCTAGCCGCAGACCAGTCAGGAAGCTCATGCTGGCCCAGTGCCCACCGCCAAAAGTGCATACAATGGGCACGTGAACATCACAACTGGACCACAGAGCAATGAAAGGAGTTGGCCTGACCTGATAAATCGCATTTTCTTTTACATCATTTGGATGGCTGGGTGCTTGTGTGTCACTTACCTGGGGAAGAGATGGCACCAGGATGTACTATGATAAGAAGTCAAGCTGGCGGAGGCAGTGTGATGCTTTGGGCAATGTTCTGCTGGGAAACCTTGGGTCTTGCCATTCATGGGATGTTACTACCTAAACAAAAGTTGTGCGATGGTTGTAAGGTGTATGGGCAGCTTTATCCTTGCGTCTCTGTACCACAGGGCCAGGAATCCTAATCATTTATTCTACTACTAATATATTGAATTTCTATATTTTTATTGCCTTATATTTTCATATTGTTTGCAATTTTGTTCCTAGTTACATGTATACAGAATCTCTTGCTGCTGGTGCTAAGAGAAGCTTAATTTATGCCTCATAGGGCCAATCGCACGAGTCTCACAAATTCCTCCACTATAGGTATTTGCATGTAATCACACATGCTGCGATTTACATGTGGACGACTGCTCCTGGACGTGGGCCATTTACATTCAGGTACGACCGTCCGCAGATTATCACAGCATGTGTGATTACATGCAAATGGCCTGCAAACAGTTGCGGGTGATGAAAGCTGTCACTGTATTTTACAGAGGCTCCCACCCACAGATCTCATGTGTCTCACGGAGCAATTTGTGAGACTCAGTGATCTGGCCCCATGGGGCCTTAAAGTGTACAATAACCCTTGAGTTGTGGAGTGCCTGATTAGTTAACCCTTTAACTTTTGTAGAGGTGAATTGACCAACTGCAAAATGTCTTGAAGACCAAAGTGCAAGTGGGGGCAATGAAGAGTATTTGGGGATGAATAGACGAGCGCACAAGCGCTGTGCATTTTTATCCTCATAGTTGTCCCTTCAGGTGTGCTAAGGGTATGTATGTGACAAGGACTTTTTCTCCATATAAAGTTCAGTAATGCTCAGGCTTCTTAATGAACCCTACATATAGAAACACTGATCTTTCACCTCATTTAAAATTGCAAAACAATTTTCCATTTCGTCTTGCAGCACTCTGCATCAGAAAGTTGCTGTGAACTTTGCTAGCAATTTGCATTTTTGTTATCAGCAGCAATTTGTTGAATAGCCCTGAGGAGCCTATTACCCAGAAACATGTTAGCAAGTATGTTTTGAAAAGTAATCTAATCCTCTACCTCTTATTTCTGACTTCCAGCAGCCCTCCAACCATTTTTCTACCCTTCAATGACATCTAACAAACATGACTGATAAGATAGAACAAGCCTAGAGATGGACAACAAAAAATGGGGAAAGGTCTGAAGGATTAAACATATCAAAAAAGACTGCGGAAATGTAATATGTACAGTCTTGAAGAAAAAAGGGAAAGGGGGAATGATTGAAACTTTCAAATATATTAAGGGTGTGACAACGGTTCAGCAGGAGTATTTTCAATATGAAGCGAAGATAAAGAACACACAGGAACACTGGACATGACCTCAAACTAGCAGGCGGAGAGCTCAAAACTAACCTTAAAAACAATTCTCATTATCGATTTTTTTAATTAGTTGCTTGCAGCCCGAGTTTCTTTCTGCCGTCACTCTTCAATGTTTCCAAGTCAAAGTGCAATAACAACGCCTGCATTTTTCTTATAGTTCAGTGACCCAGGAGTTACTAAACTCAGAGGGTCAGCATGACAGCCAGGCAACTTTTTAAAGAAAATATCAACAATTGAAGCCCATTGTCTTCCTCTCACCACCTCAACCCCTTTAACGCGGAAGGGAAAACTGAGCCCGATGTGTATCCCGGTGTCATATCCAATATACCACTTGCCCGATGTGCATCCCGGCATATCAAATCACTCACTATATATA